TTAAAAATGGTAAAACAAAAGCTAACTAGAAAATCCAACTAAAATCTTGAAGCATTTGTTTTGTATAATTAAAAGACGATTTAGACAATTAAAACTAAGAAGATATCTGAAACTTGCTGGTGCAAAATTATGCAATTGGTAAAGAGTTAGTCGTTGAGATTATTCTAAGTATTATTTCAAAATTAATAATAAAATGAACATAACTTCAAAATGCTGTTCGTAAGCACATCTTTTTCACCAGTATCAATTTTTTGAGCGAACTATTAGACTGCCAATGTATAAATTTTTTTCCCTTGCACCACTTTTCATCATTAAAATATTGCATTTCTAGAATCTTTTATGTTGAATATAGCTAAAAAGATTATTGAATTTTTTTCAGAAAAGACTTTTAAAAATTTCTGTGGTTTATTGGTGTCACACATCAGACTATGCAAATCGCTATAAAAGTTATGAGAAAAAAAATAGTCTTTGACACCACAGTTTTATCTTTTGACTTTAGTTTCCCGCTACAAATGCAATTCTGTGTAGGAAATGGAAAAGAAATATGTCAGAAAAAGAAACTTTTGATGTTCTTAAAGTGATATTTGATCGAGTATTAAGATAACGGTTCTGTTACGTTTCCATAGGTAAACACATCTTAATTGAATAGCCGTCCTTAATCTTGCTTTCGCTTTTCCTGGCAAATCAGAACCCCCTTATTGCCATCTCCTCTCTTCTCATAAAGCTTGGCATTAGGAAAATTTTGAAGAACTAGGTTCACAGGGGAATCGAAGGAGAAATTGCGAAGGACAATGAAAGCAAGTGTGAAGTAAGAACACTTCCAACTTTTTAGTTTTCAAAGAAACTGCTTTTTCTACAGTTCATTGAAGGAGTATTACTCAATTGCAGTGTTTTTTTTAAATCTGTTCAGCAGCCACATGAAGATAATTAATAAGGTAAAATACTCGTTTTTTTTTCGAGTTGGCGAAACGCTTCAAAGTTGTTTTCCTTTTAAAAATTAGCTGACACTGTCATCAGCTTTTCAGCTTTATCTCTAGTTGGCTGTTTTTCTTTTGGCTACCAAACTTTTAATTAAGACGACTGGTTAAACACGATTTCTGCTTTCAAGTGATACATCAAGTAGCACACAGACTGTTCAGGTTTTATCAAATATGATCTGCTACAGTTCAGACTGCAAAACAGTGATTCAATTAAAGCAGAATATTCTCATTTAATTTAGTGCTTCATTGTAGCGGCCAGTTTCTTACGACCAAATTATGTGGCCAGCTTCTTACGACCAAATTATGTAACGTTTCGTCTTCACTGGTTGATCAAGAGATAAAGTTTTGCAAACGTTACAAATATTGTGCAATCAAGCTTTTCAAATTAGAGCTGTATGACTGGGCTTCATTTTACAGAACATAAAGAACCTTGGTAATCATTGTTGCACAACAGCTGTGCTTATTTGACTTCAAGTCAGTAATCATTCTGTAAATAAGCTGTGTTTTGTGTTACATATTAATTAAAGCACATAGCCACAACGAAAACAGTTGGGTAACCGTAAAAGAATTATCAGTCGCAGTGCTCTAAAAGGAGAAAAAAGCAGGGTTTGCGGTAAAATTATTTTTGTAATGATGACAACAATATATACAAAAAAGAAAAAAAAATGCTAAACTTTATCTATAAGTGGTAAGTCTAGAAGATTACTATTTTCAATCCGGTATATTTATTGAGCAGTATTCGGCCTTTTTCTCAGCCTTATGAATATCTCACTTATGTGCCGTTAATATAAGACAAAAAAAAAAGGATAAAGTTACCAGTTTATTCACTGCTCGGGTTTCACTCTTTTTTTTTTTAAACATGATTTCTAATCCAACAAATTTACACGTGTCCACCATGTCTGTGTGTTTATTTACATAGGCGCCTGTTAAAGGAAAATCAAATGTAACGCTTTGTTAGGTTCGTCTCCGTTCATTGATCAGGGATTAAAACGTCTAGAATGCTATGCTATTACGCTTTTCAAATTGAAACTGTATAACTGTGGTTATTTTTTTACGCCTCTTTACATAACAGAATGTTGTTAACCATTGTTGCACAGTAACTGTGATCATTTGACTTCAAATGGCTGTTACACTGCCTTTCTCGGTAATCACCAAAAATTTGGTCACACTTTTTATCCTGAACAACCAAATCATTTTCACAAAACTTTCAAATGGTTCCAAACTCAGTGGCCACTATCGATTTACAGCTCCCCGCCCTTCATTCTAATCAGCGATTTGAACTATTTTCATCGTTTTTTGGTTTTTTTTTTTCTTTTTTTAAGTAGGATTGCTGGAATAACTTTAAAGAGCTTTAGCTTTCCATCAATAGAAATGACAGTTTCTAATCGCAATTTTTCGTTGGATCTAATGAATTATCAAATAACCAGTTTTTTTTATCTAATACTGTCGTACTTCAGTAAACTTTGTATCTTGAGAATAAATATACGGAAAAGAATTACAGTTAAGAATCTTTTAACTGTGAGAGAAATTTAGGCATTTTTGCAGTATTTTTGCTAATCAAATATCTTGCATAATTAGCTGATTCGTTGCTGAAACTTGACACCTATTACCTTTAAAACTGTGCTAAATAAATTCTCTCAAAAAAAATATTACTTATTTTGCTAGAGAATATACATATATAACTGGTTCTCACTTTTGATCTTAACATCTGTTTTACTCTGCTACAAAACCAGCCTAAACCCTTTCCCTCAATATACGCTCAGGGACATGGTTTATGATAGTATCGCTTGGAAAAAAAAAAAACAAAAGTGTTTTCTTTACTCGCTGGAGGAACCAGAACCTACTACAGGGGCAAAAAGTAGTATACATATTTCATCACAAAGTGGTAAGCTTTTATCACGAAGTTGTTTTTTCTCCGTAAAATTTTTTCGCTTAGGTAGGATCGTTATTTAGAATTTTCTTTCAGATGCTTACTTCTGTTGCTAAGTTGAGTTAATATAAGGTTTTTTAACGCTGCTTACTGGAGCTGCTTAAAACTCTTAAGTATGCTGTTATTTTGGTATCATTGTAGTACTTGCAGCGATGATAAAAAACCTTTCAATATGCGTTTCTCTCATCATTATTCTTTCGCCTAATGTCATTACCGCTTTTGACAAAAAGCAGTAACACTAGTCTGGTTTTTTTAGTGTCTCATCCAGTCCTAAAACGTTTTTCATGAACGGCTTCTTTTTTTTGAAAATTAACTGTAACATTTCTTACCTGAAGATAAAAAACATGAAAAAAGTGAAAGCAATTCTAAGACAACTGATTTAAACGTAAAATAATCGTATATTCATTGAAAGGCAAAATACAATTAATTAACGCTAAAATAAAAGTTTTTTTTGTTACTGCAACTATGAATGGATTAAGCCGTCCCTGAAAAACAGTTCCATGTGCTATTGCAGGTTAACGCATCCATCCTACAGGAAGCATGTATTCTTGTATTCCTGTCGTTGCTTTTTTTTTTTTTTTTTCTTGCAGAGTTCTCAACCTCACTTGACTCACGGCTCAGGACCTGTCTAAGCGTTCTTGCAAACCTTCTTACGGTTTGATGCTGTATTTCCGTTTTCATTTCCATAGCTTCTAATAAGACCTGTTTTTAGCGGCCCGTACAGTGATTTTAAGGAGATGCATTTAGTTACAGCAAGGCTCAGAAAGAAAAGTTCGAAGATGATTCTTAAGCGACCCCCCGTTTCACAGTTTCCACATTTGTTGACCATTCTTTGGTTTGCCAAAAATGTTTACGTAATCACAGCGTTTAGCTGTTTAGACAAGACTTATTAATCCAACGTACGAAACGGTCAAAAAAGTTACCAGGAAAGGTTCTTCAAAACAAATACTCACATACAAGTGCCAAAACGATTCCGTTTTTCACCCATAAATATGCACTACTTTTTTTACTTGAGTCCACTGGACCGAAATGATTATCAACCTAAAAACAATTAAAGATTGCTTTTGGCCAAGTGTTTTTATCTACCTTTTTTGCTAAAGAGCTTCATTTGACACAAATACTACTATAACAGCTGAAGTACCTCCACGACAAAAAACAGTTGCTTTTGTTGAAAGTGTTCTCACCGTCACCACCGTCCATTATACCACGGGCCAACTTTGAAGCTACTTCGTAGAACGTCGAAAGGATCAAAACAAACCTTTAACATTAGACTATTAGAAACTTAACAAGAAGTATGTAAGCAAATTTGGAGCATATCGTAAACGAAATGAGCAAAGTTGAGACCCGGACATACGCAAAAAAAAGGTAGACTGACGCCATACGGAGCATTTTCGGACGTGATCAACTGTAATAGTACCCACCTTCCTGATTGTAGTACTAATGGGCCCAAGTGAGTAGAATATTCAGCTGCATTAAGTGCTCAATTTAAATTTTGAATACCGAAACGAAGTTGCAACAAAGGTTGCGTTTGCAACAGCGCGTAGCGCTTTGTGCTTAGTTCACATCCAGTTTTACCATGTTTTTCTTAACTATTAATACTTGTTCAGTTCTCTGCTTCTACATGTGCCGGCGTTATTCACACGTTGGGTCTTGTATTTCTTAGGCTTTCAACTGTTGATGCTATAGGCGACGTTGATAAGATTTAGCGGCTATTTCTCAGTGATAATAAGTCGGTTTTATTCGCTGGTTTATGTTTGATTCCAATTATTTTCATATATTTTCTGTTGGCAGTTTGCAAATTACAGTTCCAGCAGTTTTGAGGCATCACGCACATGCAGTGGTGTATTTATTTATCCTTTTTTCCTTCTTAAACGGTTTTTTTAACGCAGGAAAATAATTTTTTTGCATTGTAAGGATAAAGTGACTTTTTAGTTGCATGATTAGATTTTGCTTGGTCTGTCAGTCCTGTTGAGGCTTTTTTTTTTTAATCACTTTATCTTCGTGAATGTTATCTTCTTCGCTTTTTTAACATTCACCGAAAATGTCGTGGAAACTTTGTTTGCCTGGTTTTGAGCTTTACAGCTTGCAGGATGGCGGCTGCTGCTGTACCATTAAGGTATACGGCACCAGGAGCATCGGACATGAATACTCCTTCTGTTAGTAATATTTCATCACAATCGCAGGTTAGGTTCAGTGCTTAAAGCACAGCTTTTTTTTTCGTTATACTTTTCACAGCTAGGGCTTTTTCAGCAGGGGACTTTGATGCAGTTGATTTTTTCTACTGTAATATGTTATGCTACTGGAGTTTTTCGACCATATTGGTATAACAGCATTGATAATCTGTATTTTTCGGATCCCTGCGGCAGTTTCATTGTTGTAATGCATATAGTACTGGTTTCTGACTCCTCAAAAACTGATTTTAGAAGGGTAATTTAGTTAATTAACCTCAACAGTATTTAAAAGTACGCATTTTTAGGGGAACTCTTCGGCAGCAACGTTGCAGATGTTGGCGAATCAACAGTACCAGCCTTATTATCTTCGCCCAGCTTATCGTTTTAAAACAAACACTGTTGGTTTAGCTTCAAGTTTTGATGAGCTTTATTTGTCACATCTTAGTAGCTCAACAGCTTCAAGTTTTTTGCATGTTTGCTTCTTTTTTTGAGCAGTTTTTGACTATATTAGAACAATTTTTTTGATAAAGTTACGAGTGTAGCAACGCATGTGTTAGTGAAGTGTTTTTTCCAGCTACAGACAACTATTGACATGATGGCTGATGGACCTGGTCGCAGGTTACGGAAGAACGTTGCAAATGTTCGTCGTCACATCGATTATATAGCTAATGTATTAAATTATGTTGAAGTAAGCTTACCGAGAGTATTTGTTCATCGTTAATTTCTCAGTTTAAGTAATATTTGTACTCGTATCGATCGTTATTATGTTACCTTGGGCCATTTAGTTTTTTATTTTCTACTTTAGTGGCCTTCATTCTTAGGCTCGTTTATGGCAAAATGGTGTACGGGACAGAGAGGCATTGCAACCAGATATATTATACCAGAATTGCGCACTGCCTGCTTCGGCAACTTTAGATAAGCCGGTTGATTGCATTCTAACAAAATTTGTTCGAGCGGCTATGAACAAAGTCAAGTGTCCTATATATAGCGTTTGCGTATGTTACTTGTCTTCCTTTTGGTGGAGAAATTTCAAGCTTCAGTGGCTGTTCTTTGCTCTATGACAGTTGCATTCCCATCTACTTTTCTCTTGCGGTTGACTACTTTGTTCTTTAGTGGACCCCAGAGGGGAAACGGCTCATTACGGGTGCTTCGACGGGCGAATTCACGTTGTGGAATGGGACCGCATTCAATTTTGAAACTATTCTGCAGGTATTTCAAGCGACGGTTGTTTTTGGAATTCTATCAATCTTTCTTTCATATCGTTTGCTAGATTTTCTGCATTTTCACATTCTGTTTAAATGAAATATGAGACAACGCGTAGAAATAAAGCAACAAGCGTTGTAAATTAATTTACTGCTTTATTTTAAGCCAGTATGCCTTTTTTTAAATTAACAGTGGATCTAATGAATAAAAAGTAAAAAGGTGATTATTAATAATAGATTAATAAAGAATGCGAATAAAGAAAAGTAAGTTTCAAATTTTGCTACCTCAATTGTAACGTTATTTGCCTTTTTATTGTATGTGATAAATAGGGCAGATAAACGTTTAACAGTACACGGTGGTTTGACATTCTTGCATGAAATCTAAAGGTTTTGCCAGAACTGCTTTGATTCCAGTTTTGAAAAATACGGAGGGAGGGGTTTTCTTGCGCTTCATTTGCATTACCCGCCAGGTCACTATTTGATCTTTTGAGTTTATTCTTATCTCCAATCGTTCTGTGATTCGAGAATACTCTCCTCCCGTTCTTACAGCTTCTTGTTTTGAAGATCACTTGGGTACAATCAGTTGTTTTTTTGGCAAGACTGTTGTCGATAATTTTCAAAGTGGGTTTGTTTCTGGACACGGGCTTTTCGTCTGTTTTTGTATGAGTATAGTTAGTGTAATGGTAAGAGGCTCTGCAATTCTGTAAAGCCGGAAGTGAAAATTAATGTTTGTTTCTGTTGTGTGTTTTAGTATAGTAGTTTACTGAGGCTGTCAGCTGTTGTCAGGAATGCTTTCTGCCTCAATGAATTTCAGGTAGAAGTTGGTGTGTCATGGATCGGTGTTGTTAACAGAATAAGCTGTTGCGTTGAAACAACTGTAGTTGGAGTATTTGCTCATTATGCCAGGTTTTTGGAGGGGTAGCGTGAGACATACTTTTGTCTACGTATCTTTTATACTTTCATTTGTTTCGGTGAATGCATTACACTTTTTGTGAGGTTGAGGGATGGGGGGGAGAGGGGAGAGGAGGAAAGAGAGGGAGGAGGTTTAATTGATACAACTGGGTAAGAGAAGGCTGCAGCCTTCAAAAAGTGAATACAGCAAGTCATTTCACATGGGACAACTGGTCGTTTTTCTAACAGTGTTTTCTGATTTAACAGTGTGCTAAATCAGGTAGTTTTGGGAAGCAGTGCGAATAATTTTTTGTTCTACTGGTGGTTGCTTTGTAGTTGTGGTTTGTGGAGCTTTGAGAATCTCTAGAATATTGACTTGTAAAATTTTAGTTTGACTTCTGGAGTCAATTTTGGATGGTTATTGGCATAATAGATCCATCCACTGGTTTGCAGAGTTCAGGGTTTGCTTGAGGTCTGCTGTTTCTAGAATGAACGCTTTTAGATTATTTTTAGACGTTGTGAGAAGTGTTTTTTTGTTTTGTTTTTTGTTAGTAGGATCTCACGTCCTTTAAATGAAGGAATGAAAGCGGTTTAATGAAGTTGGCTCTTAATCATTTATCTTCTCCTTGCAACTCGTGATTCGTCATTTCCTGTCTGTTGTCACTGATATTTGTCTATTACTGATTTGCCCATCTAGATTGGCATTAAACATCTAGCTTTTTTTTCTTGTTTTTTCTTGTAGGGCCGTCAGCTACGAAGGTGTCACCTTCATGGCATTTTGATCAAAACGGTATTATGGCATCTGTAACTTGTGACCTGAGATGAGGATTTAGGCGTTCTTCGGATTCTTCAGCACGCAATATAACTAAATATTTTCATCTCAAGAATTGCGTATCAAAAGAGAGACGTGTCGAATAAAAATTCTTTTTAGGCGCATGATAGCGCAATACGAGCTTTGAAATGGTCACATAACGATCAATGGCTTGTGTCAGCTGATCACGATGGTTTTGTAAAGTACTGGCAACCAAACATGAATAATGTGCATATGTATCAAGCTCACAAGGATGAGCCAATAAGATCTATCAGGTTTAGATCCTGAAGTGGTTGTAATTGTTTTGTGTTAATGATTGATTCTTCGGATTTAATGGTGCTTCAGGAAAGTATATTTGAAAAGCTGATTTGTTTGTTCAAAGAATGCAAATAGATGTTTAATTTATATCGTCCACTTTAAGCTTTGCTCCAACGGATGCAAAGATAGTCACTGGTTCCGACGACGGTACAGCACGGATTTGGGATTTTGCTAAGTGCGCTGAGGAGAAGGTTTTGCGTGGGCATGGCTCAGATGTAAGAAGTGTTGATTGGCATCCTCAGAAAGGGCTCGTTTGTACGGGTTCACGAGATTCTCAACAACCGGTTAAGCTGTGGGATCCTAAGACGGGTCTTTGTTTGGCCACCCTGTAGGATTTTCTATAATTATTGATGGTAAAAAGGAGAAGGCTTGCTGTGGTCATCAGTTTTTCATTTTTCTTTTTTTGGTGATTTTTTATTTAAGTTTTAAAATTGAGCGTTACTTAGGCATGAGCATAAGAATTCTGTGATGGCGGTGCAGTGGAACAGAAACGGCAATTGGCTTTTGACTGGTTCTAGGGACCACCTAATAAAGATGTATGACATTCGTATGATGAGGGAGATGTACACGTATCGGGGTCATAAGAAGGAAGTCACTGGTTAGCGTTTAGTGCTTTAAATGTATTTGTCGACATCTTTTTTGAAAGGCAAAAAATATATTTTTTAGCTCTTGCATGGCACCCGATTCATGAAAGTCTTTTTGTGAGTGGTGGAGGTGATGGTTCTCTAGCGTACTGGTTAGTGAATAATGAGAAGGAATTAGGATTTTTAGAGCATGCTCATGACCAGGCCGTGTGGACTTTAGAGTGGCATCCTCTTGGTCATATTCTTGCGTCAGGTGAGCAGTTTGTTTATTGTTCATAAGGAAAAGTTTATATGTTCGTAGAAATCCTATTTCAAGGAAAAGCAGTGTAATTTATGAAGTTGAAGATTTAGTTTCTTTAGTGTACAGTAATACTTCTGTTTTTCAAGGGTCTAATGATAACAACACAAAGTTCTGGTCACGTAACCGGCCGGGAGATACGCAAGATGATATTTTTGGCTTGGCTTCATTTTCTGGAAATGCGCTACATGCCACTGCCAAGGAAGCGAAAGCTGAAGTGGATGAAGAAACTGTTATTAAGCCCGTCATTCCAGGTACTTTTTATTTCCTATAGTTTTCCAAGCTTTACTGTTTTGATAATATACTGCCATATCTCATAGTTTTTTTAATTCCTTCTTCATACTTATCTTTTGGCCGGTTTTCTCCCTGTTCTACTTGAGTATACCATACATATTTTAGGAATGGGCCTGGACGATGATGTCTTCCAGGAACTAGAAAAGAAAGAAACGCAACAGATTGTAGGCGGCCCTTCAGCTGGTAGTGGATCACTTGGTGGTCCGCTTCTCATGCCGGAAGATCCCAATGCTCGCATGCAGGTTTACATTACAAATTACTTCAGCTTTCATCAGGTGTTTTCAGTTGCTTTTCTAATATTAATTTTCAGTCAGCAAATATCGGAGCAAAGAGAACACTTATTAAACAACCTCCTCCGAAAAAAGCGCAACGTCAGTTTGAACGTATGTGGAATGTGGCTAAACCAACTGGAGGTGAAGACTTTGACGAGGAAATGCCTGAAGAAGGATCTTTCCGGAAAACCAAAGCGTCTCTATTGGGACCACCGCCACCGTCAATGCTTTCTTCTTCAAAGGGTGTTGAAGGTGAGTGGATTCTTTCATTCTCGAATTTCGCAAAAATTCCATTTGATGTTATATCCTTAATAAGCTCTATTATTCTCTTGTAAGAATAGGTGACTCTGTTCAAGTCCCCTGAATTTCATATTTTTTTATTTTCTTAATGTCATGTGACTTCCCGTCTAGCGTTTTTTTCGCAGTAGCAACTTTCAGGACAGCGATCTTTCTCACCACCGTCATCTTCTTACAAAGGTGACCATAACGGAAGTTCGAATACACACTCTTCAGTCCCGCAACGGGTTTCTTCTGGCAGTGACCTTAGTAATCTTGGATCAGACTCGCAACAAAAACCACAAGCTGCTTCTCTGTTAGGACTGCCACCGCTACGACTGTCTGCGTCGCAAAATGAGCCTTGGGCCTCACCTTCACAGTCCTCGCTCATTCAACAAGTGAACGGTCAAACCAGTCTTCCGCACTCTGCGCAGCCAGTCATAAAACAGGAAACATTACCTGGTAGGAGTTTTTCTTTAGTTAATTCATTAATTCAAGTTCATTCAGGCTAAGAGCCTCTCTGAAGTCTTCAGGTCTAATTTGCTTCTATTTACTTTCCTCCGTGTTTCATAAATAATTTCATGATTAATCAGCATCTTTTTTAAAGTTGTTCTAGTCATAATGAACTCATTCTCTTATCAAGCTTACTGTGCTTAAAAACCTATCTCAACATTGCTGTGGTCTTTTCCGTTTTAATTTTTGATTTGAGTTTGTCATCAAAAGAAGAATTAATGTCAAAGTTGCAGCAACTTTTGCTGTTAGTTCAATTGCACCCCTGCCGTTCCCTCAGCCTACTGCAGTAGCGGGCCAGTTAATTTGGCCGCCGCCAATAGTCCAGCCGCAAGCGACACAAAATTTAGTGAGTCTTGTTTTTCATGACTATCGTAAAAGGTACATCTTGACTTTCTGATTTCATTGAAATCGCTTTCAGGACATTGATTACCGCACGGGAGCACCTGCGGCTTTAGTAATATCTAACTCTGTTATGGCACAGACTTCGAACAGCACGGGTGATGTGGATCTTAGAAACCAACAGCCATCGTCATCTTCTTGGAGGACATCAGCCTCCACCTCGTCAGAATGCCACGCACAAAGTCCAAGAGATCCTGAGCAAGACGTTGGAGGTTAATATCAACTCCTAATTATATCAATTTCTAATTCTTTTCTATTTCATGAGCTGGGTTTACTTGTTGGTTCCATTTTTTTTTTTTTTGTATACTGTACTTGTCAACCATTCCAGGTCTGTCAAAAATTCATGACCCTCGTATGCGTCGAGGTTCGAATAGAAAGGCTTCAGCAAATCAACTTGAGAGGGAATCTGAAGGGTTGGTCGCTGCTGGGAAAAGTCTTCTTGGACCTCCTCCAGTCCAAATGCGAGATCCAAGGCGGAAGCCACAGACATCTCAGACTTCACAGAAATCGGTGTGGTAGTTCTTTATCTACGCTTTTTTCTTCTTCAAGAGCTAAGTCCAGTTCAAGTTTTTAGTGAAATTTTTCAAAGCTTAATTTTGTTTACCAGAAATAATCTCCCGTTTATAGGATGGCGATTATGAGAGCAGATATGAAAGTCACAAAGGTCCATCTCGCACGTGGATGCCAACTATGAACGACAGCACTGTTCAACCTTATAATGGCCCAAGATCTTCGTCATCTGAGTCTTCAAGCTTACTTAGAAATAAAGGTTATGGAAGTAGTTCTAGTGGAAGTAGAAACTACGATGATTACGACAGCAGGTCTTCTTACAAGCAGTATGGAGGAGGAGGGCCAATGAGAAAGGGTGCTTTGATAGATCGAGGTCGAGGAAGAGACCGTGCGAGCAGAAGAACAGGTTACTGATACATTTCTTGTCGCATTGTCGTGCTTTTTTGTTTTTCTGTTTTTTTCTTCTTATCTTTTCTTTTTTCTTTTTTGTTTGTTTGTTTGTATGAAGTTTGCCTACGCAATTCTTACATTGTTAAACCAGCCTTAAGTTTTTCCTTTTGTCAGTTAACGTCTTACAGTTTTATGACAGTTCGAAAATCGCCTGTTGAATGAACGGTTGAGTTTTTCCCTTCTTAAATTAATAAACAACTTTTGCAGTTTTCATTTAGATTTTAAGTTCTTATTGTCGGAAAAGGCGACATCTAAGCAGTTAGGCAGACGTTCTTCAAAATTAAAATAGGGGGTTGATTCTGGAGAGTTATAATTCTACAGATGCATCGTACCCGTGCTCCCCTGGATAATTCAGAGAATTCTATGCCACTCACATCCAGGAATAAATTTGAAAGCCATTGTATTAAATTTTTTTATTGCACAACACGCAGTGTTAGTCGTTCACGTTTGTTTGGTATATTTCTGATTTATGCATCATCTATGGAATGTTTTCCGATGTATTTCAGTTCCTTCGGCATTTTATGCTTCACTCACTATTACCGTTCCAAATTTTGACTTCCCCGATTTTTAGTCCTGTTTATTTTACTCTCATTGTTGAGCCTTAACGAAGATAACTTAGTTTTGTGTTCACCGGACAGTTTCTAGACTGCATTACAAATTTCTTGGAAGAACGAATTCAGAAACTGCCCTCTGTCTTTTTTCCAAGTACTTTAGTGCCCTTCCATCCAGTTCTTGATCTCTACTATTGTAGTGGCGTATAGATTTATTCCTATGTTGATATTTCTTCAGTTGTGCAATAACTGCGACAGTTTTGTAAATTTATTGCTGCTTTTTGTTGGCAATCTCTTATTTTATTATTTGGTTGTTGGCCTTTGACCATCAGCTTAGAATAACAAATAGTAGTGTTGTAAACAATAAGCCTATTGGAAAGTTACTGTCAAACACATTCTGATCAAAATTATTAGAGCCGCAAACTATTCTCGTTGTATAATACTAATTATAAGGAACTTAAGCAGATATAAAAATTCCATAACTCAACCTTTAGAACTTTTTTGCGACTCCCTATAATAAAAACGCTACATTCAGGAACGGGACAACGAACGCAACAAAATTTTTCCAAATGAAAGTCAGAAGGGGAAGTTCTTTTTGAGACGAAATATAGTTGCACTTAAAAAACCACAAACAATTCACGTGATATCAGGTAGATAGCAATGCAATGTATATGAAAGTACTGCCACAGAAACAGCTTCAATCACAGCTTAGAAATCCGTTCTCCAAAACCAGTTCTGCTGTTTTAAGACCTTATCTCTTCAACTCACAACGACGAAACAGCCCTCACAAAAAAGGGTAGTTAAACCCCGTTAAGCCTTTCTGTAAACAACACGTTCTTCCTACTAGTGAAATATTCTGTACCAAACGAGCGAGGTACGACATGAGTTCCTCAGTATTCTGATATTTTAAGCTCACGCGGCTTCACTTTGTGGTTTTCTTTGGCGCCTCGCGGGAAGACTTTATTACGTGGATAAGGCTCCCCAAACAACGACTCCTCAGTTTCAACATACTTTTGTTCCTCATCAGTTATTACTTTATGACCTTCTTCCTGAGCCATTTGTTTCGTAAGCATCACAAGACTCTAAAATGTTGACAAATAAAAGTTGTAAACATAGGTTCAAAAATGATACCTTACTCAATCCTGAAAAATATCAGAAAAAAACAAGACTAGCGAGAGTAAAGATCGGCTCAAGTTAAACATGTTTTGTAGCAGGAACAAAAATTAAAAAAATAAGAAGTAATCGGGAAACATTAAAGTGATTGTGACTGCTAATATGAAGGTAAAACAAAAACAAGGACAGGAAGATACTTTAAAAGTTTTCGGTTCATATATAGCAAGCTGGGAAAGTACAATGTTGTCGAGTAATATATGAGCTTTATCCAACATATATCGAAAGCTTGGATAAGCAAAGTGATGTTCGTTTAGTGCAGCGAAAAGTCTTTCATCGGCATACTAAAACAGCATGGAATATTTGTGGATACCAAAATACTTCTGAAAGATAACTTAAAAACAAACATGTTTCTCCAGTCGCCGTTCATCTTCTCGGTGCATATTCAAATATAAAAATATTTTGTTCCTTTTTCTGTATCCTGCCTTAACTGCTGTCCTATCGGAAGCATAACACCACTGAAAGATTAAACCTATTGCGCAATTTTCGAACTTGATTTGAGATTAGTGAAACTGAACTTGGTTTTACAGATTAATCATTTTCGACAACAACATCTTACTGCAGTAAATCGCTTCAAAGATTCACGTTTTCGCCATATTGCAGGTTTAGGAATAATAAGGAAAGGATGATAAGCGCTATTTATAATTCTTCTCAGGCATAACAGTTCACTTATATGCATTTCCTAAAAATGGATTTACAATTAATAAAATTCAGAAGAAAACGATGCAACAAGATAGCGTTCTCTAGCTTTATCGTATTTCAATATTTAAACTGCATAAGATATTCTTGAAATCAAACTTAACTGTCGACCGTCCCGCCGCTCAGCATTCTTTCCTTACAAATGCGTAAGAAGGATTAGGCGAGACAGGACAACAGTTTTTCAGTCGTAGCGGAAGTGTTCTGAAAGACTTTTGCAATTTTTATACAAGCCAAGCCTTATGCTCCCGATGTTTACACATCTGACCAGATGTTGCGACTTCCTCTAAAGTTTCCTCTCCCCCTGCTACAAGAAACATTCACCCAAACCAATTGGATTCAAAACCCGAAACGAGTCAATGCTTCCAACTTATTAACGAAAAAGACAATGGCTTTTTTAGCTAAGAAATGCAAGTTAGACTGAAACTTGTATGAATGAAAGTAACACTGCACAAATTGAAGTTTTTCAAGATCCGTGGTGTAAAACCACATTGACTTCTAACCTACAAAAACCTTCCTATTAAGAAAAAATCATTAAGATAGGTCAAAACAAAGCAGACATTTTAAAGAGCCGAGGCAGAAAAAAAACTCACTAAACTGAGAAGGAAAACATAATACGCGCGCAACAGTGTATACGTGTGGCGTTAGTGGATAATATATACAACAAAAAGAGGAACTTTAATGGTCCAATGTACGTATATTTATAACAAAATAATTCGCTAAATTCTGCGCAATTACCTAAAGCTACAAAAATATAAAATATTTTTAGTGTTTAGAACGAATGCCTCTTTGATGTATTAGTGAGTGCAGAACAGTTACCCCTAATGTAAAAAAGTCACGAAAATGTGTACCTACAACTCATATCATATAAGAAGTGTTTGCTAAAAGAGGCCATTAAGAGGAAAAAGAAACGAGCAGAGGCTAGAAATGCAATGTAGAAAACAACCTTTTAAAACGACCAACTTAAAAACAAGGAAAAAAGCCAAGCGATTAAGGGTGCCCCTGAAGAAATTCGGTTACCAGCTGGCAGAATGCCATTCTCTCTTGCTGAACTTTACCGGCTTAGATGTTAGGTAAAAAGCGCCTTTGATCCAGACCTCTTGCGGGCGCCCAGCCAACAACATTACCGTATGCTTTCGCTCTTCCCGAAGGAAATCTTCGTACTAAATTAAACAGTTCAGCATACGGTAACATCGCAAATTTCCTTGTTCGTAGGGCAATTCGCTGCTTCTTTTTTCGCCGACATAGGATCATAACCCTGTGTTCGAGATTCCTATCTTCATTTTTTTTTTTCTTTTGCGATATCTTTGTTGCTCCCACATTCCGACGCTCGACCATTCTCAGGAAGTCACTGAGTTTCGTTGAAATGTTATTTTTTTACCGTCTCACCCGTTAGGATCAACTCTGGTTTGAACTTTATAAATTTTTTGAATGGGACAACGTTTGTCTAATCCCGTAAGCTATTTAACGGAAGAAAAAGATCGGTGAGTCGGTAGAAAAGAAAAGTTATTCAAAAAAAAAAAAGATAAAGATGTAGAAAAAAGAAAAGAGATAGCGGATATTCCAAGAGCAAACTGTCGACTATGTAAACGAAGAAGTTAGTTTTAAGTATGTACAATCTATTAAATTATCCTTTAATGCAGACTTCAAATAATTTTCTGTTCTTTCTGTAAACGATTAGATAATCGATTGATGATATATTCAGATTATTACCCTCTTTTCTAGACTTTGCAAAACAATTGTGACTGCGTTGTTTTTTATGAACAAATAGTTTATTCTTACAATAAAAACGGCTAGACTGTATTTCTTTACTATTTTATTACTGCTCGTAATTCCACTCTTATTAAGGCGGTGAGGAAAGAAAGAGTGCTTGCGGAGAAAAAATGAAAAGTAAGTCACTTTCTTCTTCCGCTGCTTATTATAAGCGTTTCAATTTGTTTTCAAATATCCACCAAATGCACTCTTTGAACTAAAGAGCCTATTTAAAGTTGCCGAGTTTGAAACTTGCTTGAAATCTGCATGTCAAAAAAATTTTTATTCTGTTAAAAGAAGATGAAACGTCAGAGGGAGGGAGAGAGAGAGGAAGAGAGAGGTCATCTACTTTTGGTTCAGAAACGAGATAGTATGTAAGGGTATTTTCACGCCCTCTGCTAGTGGTACTACCAGAAGTGGGCATAAAAAACAGTTTTCATAAAATCCTGTAAAGCAATTTTGGATCTAGCCGAATTACTTCTTCCGAATTACAGCTGTTACATCGTGTCTCGTAGACTGATAGGGTACGCGTAGAAGACGAAAAAGATGAAGGGAGCAAGGAGGTACAGGAAGCTTTGGGAGTCTTTGTGATACTGGTTGATGAGAAAAGCAGCAAAGGTAAAACTATAAAAAGTGCACGTAGTGAACAGGTTCCGTTGAGAATTTCAAAAGCAGCAAAGTTGAAATTACAAAAGGTGTATGTAGTGAACAGGTTCCGTTGTAAAGTTTATTCGGTATGTTGCTGCAACATGTCGAGGTGATTTAGCATGCGTGATATGTCTGTTTTTCTCCTCTAAAGGTTAAAGTGCTACTGAAAGTTGTATTTGTTTAAAAATTGGAGTAGGATACATTGAGCACCCCGGTTGGTAGTGGTTTCTGCGTTATTAGTAATCACATTTACTTGTCAGCTGTTTTTTATCTGTGAAGCTTTCGAACAGCCGTAATGAGTACGCAGTGAAACAATTTTGAAACGATCACTCGGGCCGCTGCTTCATGAAATTACTTTGATTTTTTAGCAAAATTATGCATTTGTCGGTTTTGCAACCCTGCTAAAATCTATGCAGTTTAAAATTAGTGGAAAGGAAACGAGCATAGTGTCTCTGTCGCTTCTAGCGAACTCTCCCAAGCCTGAGGGGCAGGAGGAGAACGCTCAGAAGCGAGCTCCCCAAGCCGGGAAGCAAGAAAGAAAAAGCGGGTCCGACACTGCTGCGGGGAAGCGGCTTCTGTTCCAGTAATGTAATCATGGAGAAGGTCGATCTCGCAGAGTTTGACCTGAAAAGAATATTAACCCCGCCCAGATAAAGAGCGACTATATAACCGGGAAACGAACGATTGGGGAACGGGACTTAAATCCTTTGAGTGATTGACAGTACTAACGAGTCTGATGTTTCATTTTGTACGCTTTGTTTTATTAACCTGTATATAACTTCTAACTCATATGCTTCGTTTTATCATCTCTGTGCTAAGGTTGAATTACCCAAGTTTGAGGTTTTTGCTATATCGCTTTCTGAAATAAACGTGTTCGAACATCAAGTCCCGCGCGGCAGCACATCAATCAGGGCTACAAGAAGAGAAAGAAGGGATCTATACATCAATTTTACTTATAGTCCGTGCTGAATGCGCAGTGATTTGCTAGATACAGACTATTGCTGTATAAACTTGCTCAGCAGTTTTTAAAAATAACGGTTCGATACTTGTTTGAATTACATTCTAACAGATGTGCTTTCTTTTAGAAAAACCTATAAGTTTGATATGCAGAAAAAATGGGAAAATATAAAAATAAATGAGCACTTAATTGGAAGAAAGAAGCTGTATCTGGTTTGACAACAGATTTACTTCGTGTTTATAAATATTATTCGAAAAATTGTTTAAATTCTACTTCGTAAAGAGTACTTTCCAAAATTTTCTTGGAGAAATGCTTATATTACACCAAGTATAATGAGCCCGAGTGCGTTGAAAATTAATCAAAAATTACGTTTTGGTTATTAGTTCCCTGAAATTGTAATTAATCTTCTTTTGTAAACTATTGAGCAATCACAGGTCCGTCTTCAAAATTACCAGTAAGATAAACCGAAATAATGAATCCAACTTTCGTAAAAGCAATTTTGCATAATAAACAGCGGTCTTCTCCTAGTCGGATACATCTGTGATAAAACTAAATTTCCATGAACTATAAAAAAACCTCATATTCGTATAAGACGTAGGGACAATGCCCTACACATCGCAAGTCAACAAGTTACCAGTTAGGTGACACAAACTGTTGCGGCTATGCAACAAATCTATTGATTAAGAAATGCGTACTGTGCACTCTTTTACAAACCTCTTAAGGTTCCTTTATTCTTATGTCCGCTTACCGTAAGCAGTCGATAGCTGCTAATGCTCAGAGTACCAACTTAAACACTAGAAGATCGTAACCTGGAACCTCTGATGCGCTCTCCTTAACTCTAAAAACTGACACTACGATACAAAGCTAACATCAGCTTGTCACGATAACGTTTGAGTCAATAGTACTCGATTACACAGTTTAAACTTTGCGTTTAATGACTGTTTATGGGCCTAAACACGGCATTGAAAAGAAGACTTAAAGTTTGACTTACAATACAATTATATAGGAGAGTTTACTAAACAGTGCTCCACTAATCTAACTAATACGATTTTACTGCAAAATTGTCAGTGAAGCAAAACCGTCAAAAGCTGGAATGGAGAAAAAGAAAGGAATTTGAAAGTTGCAAATATGCTAATAAGTCTAAATTTAAGATCAAGAAGAACCTGAAACTGCAAGAGCGCAATTCATTAAGAAACGTTCTGCAGAAAACCCAAAATTTGAATCACAACAACGTTTTACAAACTGGACTAGTGTGAGTTGATTCACTTAATAAAGTGACTCCTTGGTCGACGTCTCCGTTGTTATATGTATTCAGACAGGTAGCAGCTACTATTTGTCTGCTCTCCAAAAGCTTTCTCCCAGAGATAGGTCAGTAATCAACTGCTCTTTTATTCGACGTGTCCATCACGTACACAAAAATAGCTATTTCATATCATTGCTCACAAGAAGATAACTTGAGAGCAGTACTGATAAGAAAGCTGTTAAACCACAGGATTATTTCCTTTAAAAATGTATAGCTGTTAATTGAAGACTTGATGATGATATGTTTTCATTTTTATATGTATTATGATATCTTAACATATTCTTATTCTTGTAGCATGGCAAATACCACTCACCGCTTCGTATTAGAAAACTAAAACACCGTTAGACTGAGCGGCTTAGATACAGTTAAAATCGCCTGTACCGCTTGCTTTTTCCCATTTCTTTTTTGATCTTCTACGGCAATTTTTCCAAACACAGTGGAAGGCAGGAATAAACTGCAAAAAGCAGAAAGAACAGGCAAGAAGCCCTACATCAAATAACCCGAAAGGTTTTCATGGTGTGAAAGGTCGTTTTTAGATGTTATCAAGTCAGCAAAGTCAAGTGCCGTTAATGATGGGATGAAATTTAAAAATAAATTCTTGCATATATCCTCTGTTGCATTCTACTTCTATCTGCTCAGTCCGCTTCATCGGGGTCGTGACAAAGATAGCTGTGAAATCGTATCGGAAAAAGTATAGCAGTTAACAAGTTCTATAATGGTTTTCCATTTTCTTCTTCCTTATAAGTCATGACTTCACTGAAACTTTGATTTACAACGTTAGTGTACGGTTTTTAAGGCACAAAATTTTGCATTCAAAATTTTTTGTAGAAAGACTAGCTTCCCCAGCAATGCTTGTTGACGTGTTTGCTTTTCGTTTAATTGCTTACCTCTTATGTAATATCAAGCAATAAAGAGTAAGAACTGAAGGCGTAAATTAATGAATGAGTTAAAAAACTTAAATTCTTCATTGTAAAACTGCACACAAGTCCGCAAAGCGGACTATTCTCCCAATTCACTTCTCCAGACTTTCCGACCTTACGAATCCAGAACCAAACAATAACAACTAGTAAAAACGTAATAAAATTTATGGTTTTCACTAAGGAAAAACTACACGCTCTAACACAAACTGTTACCGGAGTGAAAAGCGAAGTTTAATGATGTACCACTCTCCTGACCTTTCACTTTAATTTAAGTAAAATCCCTGACTGGATCCCAGTATAAAGTGCTGCTGTCGTGTGTCAACCTCCATAAACTCCGGAAAAGACCTTTGTCGCCTACAACAGTCTTCCCATATATGCTTGTCCTGCATTACTCACAAACATTTGCAATAATTTTGCTAACAAGCTTGTCAAAAACTGGTACTTCTAAACTGGATGTTACAAAAACTAATTAATTCCTTCAAACTTTCGGTCACATTTCCAGGCGGTTACGGACGAGAGAAAGCTAACTACAACAAAAATGAACATCGCAGATCCTGCAGTAGATCACAGATGTCGAAAATCACCGAATTCTTGATCTGCAGTCCTCTCCCGCCCACCAGTTCGACTATAAAACTTCACATATTTGTAATAAAATTATAATATTTATGATTTCTTCACCTTCCAACTTAGACATTCAATGCTCAGCTGGTGTAACTTTTACTTCCTAGTTCCAGAAATCTTTCTGTTTAGGTCCTCACTATCTTTCATACTCCTTCGTATTTATCAAGCTCAGGGTAATTACATTTTTCTTCTTTTACTTCCAGTATAATCAACGCACTTCTCATTACTTTCTCAAAAGTCTATGTGTTTCCCCACTAGTACTTGTTAGAATTCTACACGGCTTTTGGTGTAGCCTTTTGTAATTTACAGCTTTTCTTTCCTTTTGCTGCCAGTGTAATGTAACAGAGAGTTTTATTTTGTATAGGAAAAGTTCCAAAAACATTTACGTAAATGTGAAGACTTTTCTAAAATTTCAATCGGCCGAACGAAAAAAGCAAAGCTCTCACAAAATCCCGGCTGAAAAACGTACTGGGTGGACGCCATGTATAAACATGTCTGTAATCAGGTATATAAGCAACTTGGATATGCGCCAAGAGCTGATACTCACCACTAGAAGGATAACGCTGCATGTTTTTGTGCTGTTGTTAGGTGACGTGATTGAATCCGCTTGTACTATGGGCGCCAAAATTTCAATTTCAATTCATTTATCGGGACGTTTCTGCAATTTGGTTGCTGACACTCATATTAATGGGGATTGATGGGATTCCTGTTGGATGTGTCATGTTCAAGTCTTTTATCACTATTAGTAAGCATTCATGCTCGATCTGCTGTATTTGTTTAGTGCTGTTTTTTTTGGTTGGAAGAGCAGTTTAGATCTTGAACTCTGAAATGATTGTGGCGATGTGCTAATACTGTCGTTTATACCACCTTTTTTCCTTCGTTGTTTCTAGAGGCGGGTGTAGACGTATTTCTT